CATTTTCAAGATAGCGGTCATAACCTTTTACTGGTATGGTGTCCAATCTGCTTGTATGTTCCTTATGTTTTAACATACTGTCAGTTGTTTCAAAAAAGGGCAGTCCAGAGCGTTAGGCTGCCACCATTGTGGGCTCCACGAAGGGCAGTTGTACACAGCCTTATCCTCGCATTCGGAGAAGTTGTTTCCAACATTCGAACCCATGACCTCTAGGTCACATGACAGCATGACAGCAACCTTACGTTGCGCCAAGGCTCATTCTCTTACTGTCCACTTCTATTACTCTCTTTCTGTCGTCATTCATAATTTGTATTGCGTTACTAGATGACAACATATGACTGCTATTAGCCGGAAACCAATTGTCCCACCACCTTGTGGAAAATGAATTGACTTTTTAATTTTTAATCTGATGTTGCATATCTGGTACTTTAATTGTTAGAATTCAAGACTGTAATGGTGTTGTGGAAGGGTCATTTGACATGGTATCAAAGCAACCTAGTTTCAATTCCCATGAACACAACTTGTAAGTGGATTTAAAAAAAATGATGCCTCTGCATGAGTCGAGGATTCGACCTAGGGTGATCAAATGTTTTACAATGGAAAATTGTAACCCCTAACCCTCACTACAACTTTAGAATTTTGGTGTCAAGAACATACGTACTTTACAGCTTGTCAGTGACTAATATCTTGTTGAAGTAAAAAGATTTCGTTACCACTAACTAAGAAAAGTTTTTAGTGGGCATTTTCCCTGTGTTGTTACTGTTATCCATATATCCTGATCTCACTCTAAAATGTCTGGAACACTTTATTTGACCATCTTTGCTTCCTGATGAAGCCTAACTCAATTCCGTAACCTCCACAGTGAACAACACTTTTCAATCCTTATTTTAAATCATCTTTGTAAGCCCTAAACATAGATCAAATCTGATATTAAATAAAATTTTGTTCTACTTGGTGTTGTGCAAGTGTATTGTAACAATTGATCGACAATTTCAAGCTCTGCTGATATCAATTATCTAAATAATATAAAAATACTTTTAGTTATGAGACCCACTGTAAGCCAACAATATTTGTCCACCTAACCAATTGTAGGCATTCTCTACAGTCAATATTCTAAATTGCAGACAATCCAAACCCGTAGTAAAGAATGTGTTCTTTTTTCTTTAAGCATTCCATGAATTTCTATTTCAACAAAAGTGATTAGTTATGGGTAATACTATTAATATTATTACTTGCACTTCATAATTAAACTCTTTGGTGAATTGAGCTAGGCTAATGTTAATAGTATACAACATATGAACACTATTAATCCAAGGTTAGAATTTTGATGCAAATTGAGTCATGTATCAATGCATTTTTTTCACTAAGAGTGATGCATATTATTAGTAAGGGATTTTTTTTATTTTATTGGTAAACTAAAAATTGAAAATCAATCTTTAAATGAGATGAGGAAAAAAAAAACATTTCCTTTTCTTTTCCATAGGACAAACGTGTTATATTATACTCATAAACCGATGAATTTCTGGGCTGAGTTGGATCTGAACCAGTGCAGGCTTGTCGCCAACAAAGGACGTAGAGTTATCTCTTCAACCGAGGATGAAGAGAACCTCTACCCTTTTGAATAACATATGATGAAAAGAATGGATGTAATAAGGGCAGCCCGAGAGACTAAAATGAACAGGTCTAAGACCATCTCCAACCGTGCCCCATTTTGCCGCAAAACCCCATTTTGCCGCTGCGATCAGTCTCCAACCAAGCGCCATTTTGTGCGCCATTTTAGCGGTGATGAACAGCGCGACGCTATATCTGGCGTCGCACTGTTCATCTCCGCATTACTGTTCATTTAATTTTTTTTTTCAATTTTTTTTTTTGATCTCATACTTTTATGTATTTACAATTTGACCCCAATTGTTTTATTAAATGTATAAAACAACCCCAATAATATTTAAATTTTATAATTTTACCCCAATTGTATAATTTAGACAAAATAAATTATTTTTTAAAAATAAAAATAATGCTAAAATTTAAAGACATTATTATTAATTATAATATTAAAATCTAGATATTATAAGTAAAGTCCCATGAAATATAAAGAGCAACCCTAATACATAATTCAAATATAAATTACATATCTGAAATACATAATTAAAATAAAACATAAAATACAAACAAAACATGGAACATTTCCTGAGATGGACAAGCAGCTCTCAATAATCTGGTAGATCGGGGCCAGAGTGTCCAATATCATTGAAATAATTGCCAAAATTAGAAGCAGACCCTTGTTCTTGTTGATTTCTTTTTTGTATTATTTTAATCTGTTGAGCTCGAACGTACTCACGCACGTTTGGATCAGCAATGGAATTCAAATCTTTCATTATAATTTTCCATTCATCTCTATCTTTTTTCATGGCTATCTTTTCTCGTTCGATATCAAACGCTACTTGCCTGTCCAAGCTCGCCTTGTCTAACCTGTCTATAAGTCGGTTGCTGGAGGTCTCGATGGAGTCCACTACACTTGACTCATGATCATCATTTTTCCTTTTCAATTTAGCTTTTTTTACCCCAATAGGTCGTTCAGATGGAGTAAATGATGACAGTCCAGGAGATGTTGATATAGGAGATTCCGGAGTGGGATTATCTGATTGTGACGAGTCGAAGTTCACACTTTGGGATTGTCTTCGACCAACTTGTCTTGCTGTGGGGACATCATCTTTGAATTTTTCAAAATTTTTAACCATATTCCAGACATGATCAAATTTGAAACCTTTTTTGTACTTTGGTTCTTGCATAAATAACATCTTTGCTCGAACTAACTGCAAATTATAGTGAACATCAAGTTATGTATTTCAACAATAATAATAAAATTCAAACGATAATTAATAGAATACTTACAATATCTTCATCTGAAGCACCACTTGGATTCAGATTCTCTACTTGTCTCAAGCACGCATTCAATTTCCTTACTTCATTACTTATGATTTCCATTCGAGAACGAATTGATCGGCTCGTACGCATCTCAAAATGCTGATCTCGAAGTTCATTGTATTTGTCCTCCACACGAGACCAAAATGCATCTCGAGACTGGTTTCTACCGATAATAGGGTCTTGAGAAATATCCAAGAATACTTGACAAAGGAGCACATCTTCAGTAACCGTGTATCCAGTTAATCGAACAGACATTTTTTTGTAAAAAGCGGTTGGTTTGGAGATCAGAAATACTTTGAAGAAATACTTCGAATTGGGTGGTTTGAAGTAGAATTCGTGAATGTTATTTATAGCCAATCGAAATTTGTTTTTTTTTGTTTGAATTTGAATTTGAATTTGAATTTGAATTTGCGGTTGGTTTGAATTTGTCGGTGGTCAACATTTGAAATTGAATCATTTTGTACAAACTGATCAGCTTTACACATTATCCAAAGTTGTCGGTGGGAATCAATTTTTGAAATCAATTCAACTTTACACATTGTCCAACGTATACACAGCTCAGCTCTCCTTGAATTGTGTGAAAGCTTTGTACGAGTGGGAATCAATTTTTGAAATCAGGTCAGCTTTATACATTGTCTAACGTATACACAGCTCAGCTCTCCTTGAATTGTGTGAAAGCTTTGTACGAGTGGGAATCAATTTTTAAAATCAGGTCAGCTTTACACATTGTCCAACGTATACACAGCTCAGCTCTCCTTGAATTGTGTGAAAGCTTTGTACGAGTGGGAATCAATTTTTAAAATCAGGTCAGCTTTACACATTGTCCAACGTATACACAGCTCAGCTCTCCTTGAATTGTGTGAAAGCTTTGTACGAGTGGGAATCAATTTTTGAAATCAGGTCAGCTTTACACATTGTCCAACGTATACACAGCTCAGCTCTCCTTGAATTGTGTGAAAGCTTTGTACGAGTGGGAATCAATTCCTGGTCATGCAGTGATCAACCGCGATCGAGAAAATGCGCATCAGAATTTGGTCATAGATTACTTTGCCGATAATCCACGTTTTGGAGAAGATATGTTTCGTCGTCGATATCGGATGTCAAGAAGTTTGTTCCTTCGTATTGTTGATGCAGTGAAAGATCATGACTATTACTTCCAACAACGAAGTGATGGACTTGGTAGAATGGGATTATCACCGTTACAGAAAGTAACAGCTGTTTTTCGCATGTTGGCATACGGTCTACCAGCTGATGCTACGGACGAATACGTTAAAATAGGTGAGTCAACAGCAATTGAAAGTATGACAAAATTTTGTCGTGCTATGGTGGAAATATTCGCAGAGCGGTATCTACGAACACCTAACGCTAACGATATTGCTAGGCTACTCTATATTGGAAAAAAACGTGGTTTTCCAGGAATGTTAGGAAGTCTTGATTGTATGCATTGGAAATGGAAAAATTGTCCAACAGCATGGTCTGGGCAATACACAGGACGTAGTGGGTCACCAACTATTATCCTCGAAGCTGTGGCAGATTATGATCTTTGGATATGGCACGCATATTTTGGTATGCCAGGCACCAATAATGATATCAATGTGCTGGAGTCATCTAATCTTTTCTCTAACCTAGCTCAAGGTATTGCTCCTCCCGCTCACTATGTTATTCAAGGAAAAGAGTATAATATGGGTTATTATTTAGCTGATGGTATATATCCGAAATGGGCTACTATTGTACAAACAATCCAACAGCCACAAGGTAGGAAGAAAAAATATTTTGCCATGAAACAGGAAGCATGTAGAAAAGATGTAGAACGTGCGTTCGGAGTTCTCCAATCACGATTTGCAATCGTGGCAGGATCAGCACGTTTTTGGAAAAAACATGTATTACATGACATAATGACTGCATGCATTATTATGCACAATATGATAATCGAGGATGAACGTGATCTTTATGCACCAATTCAAGAAGTGAGGGAAGCACCAACACCAGAAGTTGATATGATAGCAGATGAAACTACAAAATTTACTCAATTTATTGCACGTTACGGAAAAATCAAGGATAAAGATGCCCATATTGCGCTTCGTAATGCATTGATAGATCATCTATGGGAGGAATACACTAATTCAGATAGTTAAGGGCATACTAAATTTGTAATTTTTATATTGTTGTTAATGTTTAATTATTTTCTTGTATTTTATTTTCTGGTGTGTTCTTGAATGTAATATTTTGGCAATATCAATAATAAAAATATAATATTTTAGCAATCAAGTTATTTTAATTAATAAAATAATATTTTATTGTTTTATTAGTTTAATTTTTTAAATAATAAATCATTTTGTTTGGAAAATATGTGAAAAAATAAAATTTGATATGTGGGGTTAATTGTTGAAATAGTTAAAAATATAGGGAATAAAAAATAATAATATAAAAGTAGATAAAAAGAAAGATACTGAGAATATTCCTTTTTGGTGCGAAAAATGGTGCAGTGGGTTGGAGATGAATTACTGTTAGATGTGACTTTTGCACCATTTTGGTGCAAAATTTGTACCATTTTGATGCGATGGGTTGGAGATGCCCTAATAACCCAAAAACTCTAAGGAAAGGGATTTATTCCTCCGGCCATAAAAGTTCTCATTTTAATTTTTATATAAGAGGAGAATGTATCTAGTAAGGCCGCCCCAAAAGAAGGGGCCCAAACTGATCAAACTCGGCCCACTTTACTAACTTGAAGGCATCGAAGTTTGGTCGGTTCTTTTCCCATTCCTTTCTCGATGGTGCAGCGGGCTCTCCACCTCAGTAGACTCAGAGCAATGCCCGCTCTCTCCTCCTCCTCTTCTTCTTCGCCCCTCGCAATAAACCCTAACCCTAACAAAAAGCTCTCCGATCTCAGGCTCTTCAATGGATTACGATGTAAAAATCCCTCTTTTCTTTCACTCAGCAACCCCCCTCGATCCGCTTCACTCCGCTGCTTCGCCTCGCTCGCCGCCGACAGGATCAAAGTCGCCAACCCCATAGTCGAGATGGACGGTCTGATCTCACCCCCCCAAACTCTATAGTGGTTAACTTGAGATTTTACTTCTTTTTCTCCTTTCTTTTGTTTCAGGGGATGAGATGACGAGGATCATCTGGAGGATGATCAAGGACAAGGTGTAGTCTCTTGGTTAACTCTTGATTACTTCTCAAAATCGCAATCTTTTGTTGAGCTAAAAGATGGAAGGATTTGGACTGTGTCTGTTTTGATTGTTGACTGCAGCTTATTCTTCCTTATCTGGACTTGGATATCAAGTATTTTGACTTGGGACTCCCCAATCGAGACGCCACCGATGATAGGGTCACTGTCGAAAGTGCTGAAGCTACACTTCAGTAAGCTTCCTTGTTGAGTTAGCTGGTGTAATCTTCCCTAATAAACTAGAGATATTTGATACGGAAATAGTTCGAATTCAAGGAAACTTATAAACGTTCAATTCAGCATTCAATACTATTCAGGGTCTGCATATGTAAACTGCATGTTGGTTTATTTTAGGTAAGACCTGATTAATTTCAAGGTTTCTACCACTTGTGAGATGAACGCAAATCACCACACCAAATATGTCTAACGAAAAAAGAGCGGCAAAATGATCACTTACCCAATCAATATTTCACATGGCACAGGACATAGGCTTTTATCTATTTGTAAGATTGTAACCGAAGGGGGGATTCAAATCGTTGAGACCTACATGAGAACACGGTTGAATTGCTAATCCTGTAACCAATTAACACCACATGTAACTTACATCCAAACCGGTTGTATCCACATAGTAAACTTTCAGTGGCTTTGCTCCTCACTTCTATGTTGCTATGCTAGAACCATTCAGTGGCTTTGCTTCTGATGTTTATGAACTCTTGAAATTCTACAAAATACATGCTTAAACTGGTCCTACTGTATACCATCTCAAATGAGAACCGAAACATCAGAAACACTTCAGCATGTTTTGACTTTTTAGTTTTATCATATTTTGCAAATTATGCTTTCTTATTAAAGTTGTTGTAGTCAGCATCTGCATTTCACCAGTAAGGGAATTGATGATGAATTTTAGGACTTGGACTTGGAGTTTAGTGAGTGCATACTTACATTTTCCCTTTTCTCTCATTTATAATTTCCTGTTCCTTTGTCTATGGCTATTCAAAGGTATAATGTTGCTGTCAAATGCGCGACCATAACTCCTGGTAGAGGATTCTTACCCCTTCTCATTCTTATATTTCTTGTAGAAGATTCAATATTGTGATATGTGGACGTCTTTCCTGTTTTATGGTTTCATGTGAGCATGATCAGGCTTTTAAGTTGTTTTCTTCTCTTTTGCAATGTAGATGAAACTAGGATGAAGGAGTTCAAGCTCAAGTCCATGTGGAGGAGTCCGAATGGTACAATACGGAATATTCTAAATGGTTTGTTCTACAAGAATCTTTTCTAAGCCGTGTTTGCTTTCAAGACATTTGAACATTATTTGTAGAACTCTTTGTATAATCTACTATCCGTGTCTCTATCATATATGGATTGCTTCATTTGAATACTTCGGGATTAATTGACTTCTGTAGATGTATGTTTTAAAACTTTGTGATCAAAGTAGGGTATATATTTCCTTATCATTATTTTCTATATTTCATAACATATACATATACGTACCTATACATATAGATATTGATAAACATATACATACAGACACTGACGCAGACTTTCTTTACTAAGTTTTTTAATGTGTGTGTGTGTGTCCTCAACCACTTATCAACTGATCAATGAATGACAATTTTTCTCCCAATCTCTGATTTTAAGAGAATTTATGACCCTCGTCACCAATTTAGTTAACCTCACGATTTAACAGAACCCTTTCACCACTTTAGTTAACCCAAAAATTGGAATAGATACTTACTGTACTTCATCTGTTCTTCACCAATTTAGTTAACCTCATGATTTAACAGAACCCTTAACCACTTTAGTTAACCCAACTAGGATTGAAATAGATACTTACTGTACTTCATCTGTTCTTTACGATGGTTTTACGCGCTAATAAAATTTTGACTTCTCTGGTATATGAACCTAATAACTTCACATGAGAGTTATTGTTAGGAAGCAAACAAATAACCAAAAGGAAAGGACAATAAAACTTGCTTATGTCGCCCACTTCTCCTTAATTATTGACCGCTGATTCTCATTAGGTTTTGCTGTGAGTACTTAATATGCACATTAGAGAGAGATGTTGTAGGCAGTATCTGATAGAAAATGCAATAAAAGTAGTTGAAGTTATGCCTTAATATGGTACTCAGCGGATATCTTTGAGCTAGAAGATAGTTTAAAAAGTAAGCGAAAGAGCACCTTTGATATAGAGATCCAAGTTAGTCATTTATAAATTGCTAAACTATGCAGCTTTGAGTTAAGCTAGCATCTTACATGTAGAGTCAGTTCTTTGTGAAGCCACAAGGGGGAAAATAGGTTGCAGGGAAGAGTAGGTGGAAGGAAGAAGCTAGTTGATATCTTGAGCTAAAAAAAACAATTTAGAAAGTAAGGTTCGAAGACCTTTGATGTAGAGATCTAGGCCAAACCGTTGTAAAAATAATTTCTAAACTATCAAAGGCTAAGCCTTAAAGGGTGTCAAGCCTTGAGTTAAGCTAGCATCTTACATTTGAAATTGCATGTAGAGTTTGTCTGTCCTTTGTGAAGTCACTAGGGGTTCAGGGGTTTGGTCTTTTTTTTTTGGGTGGGGTGGGGTGGGGTGAGCAGATGGGTGAGAAATTCTTAGGTGCACCATGAACACCAAGGTGGCATATGCCACATCGATAGGAGCACCCCCTCAAAAAAGAAAAAAATAAACTTCATTAAAGGTTTATAACCATAGCCACAGGGTACAGTGACTGCAAGTTCGCAAGTTTTTACATCAATCCTTGAAATAGGTTAGCTCTTATTGTTCTGATACCTGTGGAATTGTTTCTATGAAAGGACTCCCTTTGACCTATTCGAGACAAATATAATATTTCTGTCTCAGATTTTCACTACCTGTTCACTGCTCAATGCCTTCAGTTATCCTTTTTTGGTATATTCTCCCTCTGGTGCTAAATACACGTTTTTATCATTCTAGGAACTGTTTTTCGTGAGCCAATTCTTTGCCGGAATATACCACGGATTATTCCAGGTAAATTATCACACTTGATGCCGTAGAATTGAATTTTTTTTTGGATAGACATGAGTTTGTTTTTCTGGGATAATTCACCTGCCACATGATTAGGCTGGAAGACACCCATATGCATTGGCAGACATGCATTCGGAGATCAATATCGTGCCACAGATATGATTATTAATGGCCCTGGAAAGCTCAAAATGGTCTTTAGTAAGTGTGATCTTTCTGATGTCTGTTGATATTGGCAGGGTTTTAGATGCTTGTTCTTTGTGGGGTTATTTAAATTTGCTGTTTTCTTTGCTGTTGTGCGCATCAGTGCCTGAAGATGGAGATGCACCTGTGGAGTTAAATGTTTATGATTTTAAAGGCCCTGGAATAGCACTAGCTATGTACAATGTTGACGAGGTTTGTCATCTCAATATTTATCTAGAGAACATGCTGCTTAAAATTGATGATATCTTTTTTGCATATAATTATTTCACATCATCTGTTCCAGTCTATCCGGTCTTTTGCTGAGTCATCAATGTCCATGGCATATGCAAAAAGGTGGCCACTTTACTTGAGCACCAAAAATACGATTCTGAAAAAATACGACGGCAGGTACTTTTTTGTAATAACATTGACAAGTTTATTTCTCCATAAACATGAATAGCACTTCTATTATGTAATTGTTTATAGGAATGAATTCTTCTATGTTCTGTTTGAACTTTGCAGAATTTATAAACTTCAGGTGATTTCATACAGTCATAGACACATATAAAAAAGACTCCTTTATCTCTCTTTTTCATGACCTTTACTCTCTATTTTGGCAACAATTTTGTAAATGTTTATTTTTATCCCCTGAGAATAATTACCGGAATATTTTGCTTGTCAGCGGCAAAGCTAGGTGTGGTCCAAAAGGTCTGCAACGCCCCCCCTACCTGTGCGAATATGAAAGACTGTATAGGGTATTGGTTAAAATGTAACATTACAAAAGTTAAATTGCTTAGCTTTTGTGGCCCACTAGATCAATATGAAGTCCAATGAGTTATTTATTATTGGTTAAAGCCCAACAGAATCCCACATTTCTACTTATCCAAATAGAATCATATATTTCTACTTATCCAGATAATCATTATTGTTGTTCAGATTAATTGCAAATAATTGTGCTCATATATGCAAAAATCACTTTTTAACTTGTTCATTAACATTTGTCATCCCTATGATCTAAGATGTTGAGAATCATAAATCACAAACAAGCTCCTCTTCCTTAATTGAGAGGTAATAAATGCTAAAGTTTTTTTTTTAAAAGAAGAGATAAATGTTACTGAAAGTATATTATTATTTGATGTCTTATATTGAAAAATATATATTTTGCAGCATTGCGGAGGAGAATATCAATAAATAGTTTCAATAAATGTAAACAAGAAATGTTACTGAAAGTATATGAGAAATATATCGAAGAAATATTTCACATAGAAGTTACAAAAAGCTGACAGTTCTTACTTCATACATTTGGTGGGCATTCTTGAAAACAATTTTATTTCATATATTTTTGTACACTTTTTTTCCTTTTTTACTAAAAATCTCTGAATTTTGCAGCATTGCGTAGGAGAATATCAAGAAATAGTTTCCATAAATGTAAACAAGAAGAATGTTTTCTGTAAACAATATATTCTACTTAGAATTTAATTTTGAAAGGCTAGATATGTGATGATGTGTAGATGCTAATAAATTAAAAAAAAAACACGTTATCATGTTGGATTATTAATTTATTGACCCCTCTTAGTGAAATTATTGGCCCCGCCACTGGTTCTTGTAATTTGTTTTCTTCTTCTTTTCTTGCATTGTTATTTCCAAAGTTAGTGGCCACTCCATCAGAAGCAAGCAGCATAATTTTCAATTGATTGTTTTTTGCCTTGTAAACATGTATGAATCTTGTCGAAACATATACTGTTATAGGTTCAAGGATATATTTCAGGAGGTATATGAAGAGAAATGGAAGCAAAAATTTGAAGAGCAATCAATATGGTGGGTCTTCATTTGTGAACTATGTAAGAGGTTTTCTTTTGTTACTACTATTAATTAATTTTTTAATAAAATTAATTTATTGCAACCAGGTATGAACATCGGTTGATTGATGATATGGTGGCCTATGCATTGAAAAGCGATGGTGGATATGTGTGGGCTTGTAAAAACTATGATGGAGATGTGCAAAGTGATTTTCTGGCTCAAGGTGCTTGATTTCCTTCAGAACTTCTAAATAGTCAAATATCTTATTGAAGCTAAAATTTTCTTCTGCCGAACATGTGAATTGGTTATGTGCCTGCAAGTTCCGTATCCCCTACTAGCTAATAGTTACATGCTTTATTGTCCACGTCCAATAATAATTTCTTTTAGCATGTTTGACTAAGCTTTCGTAGATGATGCCATAATTGCTACTGCACTAATTTCTTTCTCATTTTATATGTTCTATTTACAGAGAAAATCCTGATTTTTAAATTTCTAAGCTGTGAAAATTGTTCTTTTTGTTCAAAGGGTTAAAATCATCTATTGTTTCTTAATCGGCATGCGACATTTACAGTTTTAAACTAGACAAGAATAATTTAAAATATTCAGCAAACTCCTTGCTTTCTCTTTAGATGGAATAAGTCACATTGCTGATGTAAGTATCTATTGGTGAATGCAGGGTTTGGTTCTTTGGGACTCATGACATCTGTCTTGGTAAATACCAAATATAGCCAGTTCTTTTTGAATCTCAATCTATGTTTCGTGTATTGTAATTTATTGCCTCTAAATGACAAAAGATAGAAATAAAAATTAGCACACGATAATCCTTGCAGTTGTCATCGGATGGAAAAACATTAGAAGCTGAAGCAGCTCATGGAACAGTGACTAGACATTTCAGGCTGCACCAGAAGGGACAGGAGACTAGCACAAACAGTATTGCTTCCATATTTGCGTGGTCACGTGGACTTGAACACAGGTAAGTGTTGTGGTCCTATGTTGTACTGTGAACTTGTAGGCCTTTAGTCATTCCAATCTTTTGAAGTTGAATATTGGATAATTTTATTGGAGTGTGATGACAGTAATGTTAAACCTGTAGCAGTTAAATTGAACCAACTCTGCTATGATAAATTCGATGTTAGTCTACAAAATCTTTCATGGAATTTTGTTTATTGAAATTGTTGATTGTTTTCCGTGCAGAGCAAAGCTTGACAAGCATGACAGACTCGTGGAATTTGTTCGGAAACTCGAGTCTTCATGTGTTGAAACGGTGGAGTCAGGAAAAATGACTAAGGATCTTGCCCTTCTTGTCCATGGTCCCAAGTCAGTGTTCTCATTCCATGTTCTTTACTTGTCCTGTACATCAAGGATTCATGAATCACAATATATGAGTCAACATGGTTTGTTCAATATTCGATAATCAAAATCCACTATAACTTCAATCTCCTGTGATAAATTGATTGTAGTCTCAGTCTTCATCACCTTTATAATTGCTATAATAATCTGATAATTCTAGGTAGTTTTTCATTAATCCTTTAATAAATTTCTTTCTTCGCTTTGTAGCAACTTGTGGTTCAATAAATACGGTTAGCAGGTCTCAATAACTGACTAATAGCATTTCCTCATTTTACTTTTACATACTGTTTATATTGTGTTTTTGCTTTTTTGATTATCTGTATTATCTTTTCTTTTAATAGGGTATCAAGAGAGTTTTACCTGAGCACGGAGGAATTTATTGATGCTGTTGCGCAGAACCTGAAAGATAAGATTCAAGTGGCAACGGCAGCGGTTGTGTAGGTATGTTCTATTCTATCTTTTATCTACAAATGTAAAATGTTTTCAATGAGCAGGTAGGATATAGTTTCTAAGTGGTAAAATTGTTTCACTTGCAGATATTGGTTGTTTGCATGTCAGTTTTGTTTGGCAGGCACAAACAGTAGTAGTGAATCAGTGACCCGATTGAGGTCTTAGTGACATGAGGACGAAGCTAAGGGCTTACCAATAATAACAGATACGAACAAGCAGGAGGAGCTATATAAATATTCTAATAATTTTGGTACATATACACAACTGTTATACACAATTGTTAATGTGAATGATATAGATTTTGAATTGTGGATAATTGTTGTATTCTTGCCGGAATATTTTCCCGTGAGTTATCACAAGCAGCTACTTGGTTGGGCTTGGGCCGAGAAAGCATGCTGATGCTTATCTTTAGGGGCATGTGATTTTACCCCCCCACTTTCAGTTTTTTTACTGCTATATGCTTGGATTTGGACTACGAAGGAGACTCTGGAGATCTCACGATTTGCTTGGATGGTAAGTCGAGGTTTCTCTCTCCACAATGTTTTTAACAACTATACTTGGTTTACCTACCAAAAGGTGCAAAGTAATCTTCCCTAAAAGAAAAGGCTACAAAAATAGTCATTGTAATTAATATAACTTCTTTCCTTGTAGATGAATTTAAGAGAGCCAAATAGCAATGAAAGCGTAAGAAGAGCTAGAAGATGAAGAGGTTATTTTGGAAAACTTAATTTTTTTTATTACTTCCCTTTTCCTAGTAAAAGGTCATTTAATAATAAAATGTTACACCTCAGAAGCATTTTGTCAGTGCCACCTTATCTTAGGGTAGGAGTAGTGTAGTTGCAATTTTCTACACAAAACTAATGAAACTCAAAGCGGATTTAAATTAGTTTGGTACAATATCGGTGTATGAGGGTAATTTTTGAAGTGAATGAGCTTTAAAAATAAATAAGGGTACTACATTGGGTTTACAGGTAGAAAATCCATCTATAATTTGTGATGCCACAACATTAGTATGAAAAAGATATAAAAAAAAAAAATCATTTACACCTTTGTTTTAAAAACGCACTTATGGCTTAGAAAAAAAATGTATCAGCTAAATTACCAGATTTACTTGTACGCTCTTAGAGCATCTCCAACAGCTTCCCCATTTCTCACTTTTGGAGAATTTAGTTAGGTTTTTGGCCCAACAGATTCCCCATCTCATTCCCCAAAATAGGGATGAAGGAGAAAAAATGGGGAAACTTTCCCAAATCTGCAGCATTCTCCAAATTTTTGGAGGAAAAAATGGATTCTTCAAAATGGGGAAGCTGTTGGAGTTAGTGTAAAAATTAGTTGGAGAATATGACTTTTGCTTCCCCATTTTGGAGAAAATTTTGAAGAAGCTGTTGGAGATGCTCCTAGTGTGTCATTTTTCTAGCTTTAGCCATATATAGAAACAAAGTGAAAAAGTGCGTAGCTACATTATTAATCTCAATTGTTTTTTTTTTAGTATAAAACTGTCAAAATCATGACGAATGTAAGCAGACGATAGAAGAAACATTCAAATAAGCAACTTGCGGGCGGGGCAACCATCTTAGCCTGCGTGGGTACCCAAAACTTAAGACGCAACTTGATGGTACAGAACCACAAGTATCACGCTGCCCGCAGCCCCAAATTGCGTGCCAAGCCTGGTATCACGAAACGAGAAGCATCGTTCGATGCGGACTAATCAATGCAACCGAAATTTGGTGGCTTGATTTTAGAGAAACGTTTCGGTTCGGCATCAAAATATTTGAAACCGAATTGACCCGTCCTATACTAATATTTTTAATATATCTTAATTGATAAGTTTCGTAAAGTAACTTATTGTCGAGCTCGCTCTTCAATATGGAATAAGGTTGACTGGAATATTTGACGGAATAAGGGGTTGTTTGTTTGCGATTTGGGTAGGGGGAAAGGCTGCCAAAAGTGCAGCTTTTGACAGGCTTTCCACCCAAATCGCCTCTTTTAGAGGCGATTTGGGTGGAAAGCCTACCAAAAGTTATACTTTTGCGATTTGAGTAGGGGGAAAGCCTGCCAAAAGTGCAGCTTTTGACAGGCTTTCCACCCAAATCGAGCCTACCAAAAGTTACACTTTTGGCAGGGTTTTGATAGGCTTTCCAGTCATTTATCCCTAAAAAAACCTCTTTTCAAACAGCCCCTAAGAGTCTCGTCTTTTAGCTAAAAAATCCTTCAATTAACATGTCTAAATCAAATCAAACAAACCGTACCGAATTGATTTTATTCGTTACCGTTTGGTTTCTAGTTTGGTTTAGTTCGGGGTTGAAAAAGTAGTCAAAACCGGCCGAACCGTCCGACTTACTTAACTTTATGCGCAGCTACCCCCTTATGCTCATCATATGTTTAGTTTGATAATTTCGATTAGTTTTTAAAGTTTTTAGACAGGGTTAATTAGTAGTTTCAGCTGCAGCCAATCGCCTATTCCGTAACATACAACAAGGAACATATAGAAGTCAACTAATAAAAGCATATTTTACGGTCAAATGTGGTATAAGAGGGGAAAAAAAAAGGAAAAGAAGAAAGCCAAATGAATATGGTAGTACCACGTGGATAGCAGTGGAGGTAGACGGTTGATGATTCCGGTAGATGGACGGCCCTGATGTATAGTGGATTGTTATTATTATAATTAGGTTACGAAAATAAATTGGAGGGGACGGTTGGTGTTTTCGACGGACGACATTTGTTGTTGGGTGTTATCGTAACCGAATGGGCGGGGTATTGAGCGGCAACGGCAACGGCAACGGCAACGAATCGCCGTCGTCGGGATCGAGGGAAATGGCGATGGCGAAGGCTAAGGAGCTCGTTTCTGCCAATTCTGTTATGATCTTCAGGTCCCACCTCTCTCTCGCTCGCTCGCTCTCTCTCTCTCTCTCTCTCTCTCGCTCTCATCTCCTTACGCCTAGGGTTTCTACTAGACCTCAAGCCTTGGAGCTTTCTTTCTTTTTCTTTTTTAAAAAAATTTCTACTACTTGTATGATCAATTTCGAACAACTGGGAAAAAATGATTTTATTATTATTATTATTATTATTATTATATATAATCGATGCACGACATTTCTACTTTGTTATGTACTCGTCCCCAAATCTGACATATTTTTAAATTAGCCCCCAGATTATCATATATTTCAAGTAGGTCCCCAAAATCTCTAAGATTGATGGAGTTTAGCTGTCTTGGAGTTAAGTTAGTAATTTTAGCATAGGGGATACTTATTTAAGGGGCAAAAAAAAAAGTTTTACTTACTTATTCCTCAATAGTGTTGATGATACGCCACCGTAACATAGTTGTTAAGCTATTCTAATTTTTGTATCCAGAAGAATATATTCTGTCAAAAGAACAAAGTAGGAGAAGACGGACGCTATTATTTATGAAATATTCCCTCCTGTATACTTTGGTTGACAAGGGCATTTTAAAAAGTAAAGGTAATCTTACGAGCGCAATGTGGCGCACTGAAAAATATCCCTGGGGTCTCTTGTGACTATTCATGACTAGAATGCTGAATTCTTGGCAAAGAGTTTTTGTGATTGGATTTCGTTCACAAGGGTAATTAGTTAATGTTGAGTCGAGAGGAGTGGTGGACTAAGAAATATATCGTTATTATTTGTTTAGTGGTACAAGCTCAATACTCTCTAAACAAGCACTCTTTCTTCTCTCTCTCCCCCACTCTCTCTCTCTTTCTCTCTCGGCTACTAGGATGGATCTAACACAAACACTTGGGGGGTTATTTATAACATTGGTTTAGGGGTAGGTGAACACTATTAAGGGGTTATTGATTACTGTTGCAAGTTGG